TACTTTCAATTCAAAAAAAAAAAAAAAGGAAGAAGGATACAAGCGAAGGAAAACCAAAGAACGGATGGAGCACCACTCGTCGAGCCACTCACCTACTGTGGCTCGTCCATCGAGACAAGAACCGGTCGACCACCTACGAAGGAAGAGGAGAAGAGCATCCAACCACTCACCGACCGGTGGATGACCATGCTAAACAAGTGCCCAATTTGCATCATTTTTTATCCCATAACTTTAGGACCTAAACTACTCAAGCCCATGGTACTTATCCTAGTTTTCCTATTTCATTTCTCTATAAATACCAACATTATGTAACCAAACAACAACAAGTTTGTCCATTTGTTTAGTCCACTGGTCTTTACGGATATCTTTGGGATCTCATGTGAAACCATTGGATATGGAGTAAACTTTATAATCCTATTTTTAAGTCTTTCATTATGCTCTAAATTTAAGTCTTTATTTTATGCATTTACTTTAAGTCTTTACTTTTACGGATTTACTTTTGTCTATAATCTCATCTATTTCCTTTGATTTTGCTTCCACCATACTCATGATTAAGTTAGGAAGATGCTGATGTTTGTTGGTTGATCAATGTTTTTAAAAAGGCTAGATCTTTATTTTGCATCATCACTTAAAGAGTTTTTAATGCAAGATTGATACTTGATCACTCGTCATCTAGATCTTAAGCTTCCCTGTCACCTAGTAAATTTAGGGAGATACTTACAACCTTTTTTGTAAACTTGGGTCATATAGTCATTTAATCATGGTTCTATGAATTGTTGTTGCTTTGCTGGGCTTGGTTATAAAGCTAACTTAATCATTGGGATGAAATGATTAACGTTAGATCTTGAATGTGACTAATGCTTAGGGGTTTTTACCGCTAGAAATAGTCTATTGTATGTGTGGCTTTATTCTTGAAAGGTTCTTTCATCAGTATCTAGTCCAGAAAATCAACCACTTGCATTTTATCTATATATCCTAACTCATGAACCACAATTTCACCATCATTTGCAAAACAAAGTATTTCAAAATCATTTATTTACATAAAATTGTAATCTTTAGCATTTCTACAACGATCTCTTTTCACCTAGCATAAAAACCTTAAAAAGTTATTTTCAGCTTAAACTCACTTCTTAGCCTTGTTGACTTCGTCTCTCCTTTCTTTGGGTTGGACTCCTACGTAACATTGTTGTTACCTTACACTTAAGGCATCTCTAGAAGTGATAAGACTTAGAAATTTAAAGCTCGTTACTTGTACAAGGAATTAATCTTTACGTGCTAGTAAAAAATTGATACTTTATGCCCCATGAAGTTTCTGACCACATTTCTAGTTGTTAGAGACTATATCGCAAGAAAGAAATGAGAATACAAACATTTCTCTTCACTTTTTAAACAAAATTAGTTTCTACTTGTACCCAAGAGAAAACCGTTTCAACATACTTTCTCTCCAATACAGATTAATTCTTATAGTAAAATAGTTCCTCATTCTTTTATGAAAAATTGTAGCCATACTTATTGATGGTAGCTCACATTCAATGCCTGAAAATTTGGTGTATTGATGGGTTTTTTTTTTGTGAAATATCCGGATAAGGCAACCTTTTCTAAAGAAAGAAACAACGGTTAAAAAGTTTTCAAATGAAATTTCGACAAATCTTATAAAGCATCAATATTGAAAAAGATTTCAAATGAGATTTCAACAAAATTTTGACATTAATGGCTTAAAATAAAAGTGGTTTGGGACCTTTGGGTAACGAGTCTAATGGCTAATGAGTGCACAAATTACCTCTAAAGAATCTTTTTGAGGAAGACATAGGTATGATTAATGTTTTGACACCATAATTTGTCTGAGACTAGTACGTGACTTTTTATCTTATTAGAATTTTTAATTGGCCACAAGCATGTGGACATCTTTGATTGTCTTTAATCACATGGTAATAGGTCCAAATGATTAGTTGGAAACATGAGGATTCATAGATTCAAAGTAGAATAAGAAATACTTGAAAAACCAATCCCCTACAAGATATCATAATTAACTCATAACCGAAGAAAACAGAAGAAACAAAAGTAAAGAGCTACAAGAGACAAGACAATAATAATACATGTGTTTCTTCTAAACATTAAGGCTCTCAAAGGTCATAATAAATCAGTAACAACATCTGCAGATAAAAGCAGATCTTTGTTCACTTAGGTCCTAAGAGGCTTCATTGGGTTGTTCGATTTTCTCTTGAGCACAATGACCCAAGTAACGGCTTCCAAGAGCAAAGCTATGCCTCCAAGGCACGCGATCACTGTAATGTAAGCCGTCTTGTACGTGTCTTGTGGTTTCAAGATGCTGAGACCTTTAAAGACATTAATGATCCCGAGGATAAGGATCGAATAGCCAACTCCATGGTGGTAGATATTCCAATAGAATCTGTACTTGTGGTCTTTTTTAGGCCTCAACAACATTGCAAACATCTATTCATAAACACAAGAGATAAATTTAAGTTTAATGGGTGTAACAAATCGATATGAGTTCTTTAGCACGAAAAGATAGCAATAAGATATTACGGAATAGTTAGAAGATACAACCAATTTTTACCACTTTTGTGATTGGTAAAGACAAGTCAAAAACAGAGCCAATAAATGATTCTTCAAGTTGAATAAACATGTTCAAATCTTGAATCTTGAACATGAACTTCAAAGGGTAAAAAAACAGAGCCTAACGAGATCTTATAATTACCTGAATGGTGGCGAGGGAGAAGAGGGCAATGCCGATGTTACCGTGGCTGGCATAGCGAATACCATCGGACTCGCTGCCAAGCTTGAGTCCGGTTGCCCAACCGGCAACCCCAATGACGTAAGCAGCGAACTGACAAGAAACGTGGAGGTAAAACCAGGCAGGATCTGCGGATTCAAATATCCTCATGTATCTCGCTATAATTGCTCCTATCGGAAACAGAATTCCCCAACTCACTGCGTTTAATATCCCATGAATCTGCACAATTATCACCAAATTGTGTTTCAAATAAAGAATCATAAATCCATTGAAAAAACTGTTATTGTCATTTTACTTTAACAGAAACTCACATTTCTCTTCTTGACCTTGGAATCTCCCTCACCATCGGAGATTACGCCACCACTGTTGTCGCCGGTTATATCCAGAGGACCTTTAGAATCAAGATTCGGAGGGTCGAAATCGTGCTTCCCTATCATCCCCCCAGGGCCCAATTCAGGACCGACTTGCCAGACCTGGTTCACCTTTCCATTCGCCGCTAAATCAGCCGGAACCTTAATCCTCGCGAAGATCCTCAACGATCTCGACGCTTCCTCGGCTTTCATGTCCCAGACATCAAATGCCAGCTTCGACGGAGTAAGCGAGCTGTATGAGCTTATGTTGAGGGTCTTCACGACGGCGACACCGTTGTCTGGATCCTTGTAGGCGACAAGGGTTTGAGCTCCGACCATACCGGTCGACTTTGGATTTATTGCCCAAGCAATCCATCCGCCAGGCTTTGAAGGCGGAGCGGAGAAGACGACGGCGAGGGTTGTGTTTGCGGGATCGTAAGAGTAGTGGAGGAAGGCTTTGAGTTGAGGGAGGTCGAGGCAGTGAGGGTAGGATTTGTCACCGGAAAATGTTTGTGACTTGCAGGTTTGTGAGACAGACGGTGAGATTAGCAGAGCCCAGAAAAGGAAGGAAAGAGAGATTCCTACGGAAGAAGAAGGCATGGTTGGATGGTTTGTATTGTAGTAACCGTATTGAAGGTTTTGGCGGAATAAATAGACTCTTTACGGGGTGATAATACTAGCATGTGTTTCGGTGTTTGATATTTATATGTACTAGCCAATATTAGATTTTTCACGGTTTAAATTCTTGATTTTTTCATATAACAAACTATAGGTTTAGAAACTATAGGTTTGGACATTAGAAAATACAAAAGAATGTTGTCGGATTTTAGAAAGAATCGAATATAACAAACTAAAGGTTTCGACATTTATGACAAATAATTAAAAA